CATTAAAATCACTTCAAACTCTACCTTTTGGGGTCATCCGAACCCTAGCTTTCCAAATCCGGTTGTACACAATGTCTCAATTGAAGATGCCTAGCAAGCACCTAAGGAGGACTGAAAGGAAACTGACTCCTCCATCCGAAGAAGAACAACCCCCATTGCTAGAAAATAGATTCGATAAATGCCCAATTCTAATAAATAAGTAAGAGGGTCAATTTCGCTTCCTTTACTTTCAATGATCCTTCCTTTCAAATTGAGGAATATTCATGAGAATGGGTTTGGTTTCAATTGCTACACTGCAAGAAAATGCCTATCCCATTCTAATTAAAGAAATTTACCAAAAAATTTGAACTATATTACAGAAATAGCTAACTTGTTTTTAAGGGGAAGAGGTTGAAAATCACTAATAGCCCTTGTTCGAAGCTTATTTGAGCTTGAAGAGTAGGCCTGGGCGTGGTTTGGTTTGGTTCGGTTTCGACCCAACCCGAAACCAAAACCAATTAGTCGGTTTGGGTAAATTTCAACTCAAACCGATCCAATCTAGCTCTTAAACCAAACCAAACCAAACCGATTCGGTTTGGTTTGATTTGGTTCGGTTTGGTTAGTCGGTTTGAGTTTTTGTCTAAATTGAATTTTTTTTTAAAAAAAAAAAACTCTCGAGTTTTAGCTCACTTATAGTACATATAATTTTGTTTTTGATTTATACAACTTTTTTATTTGAATTACGACATATAGCAACTAAAAACATATTTGAAATTCCAGTTTTCAAAGAATGAAAATAATTATCGCAACCTGCATTTTCACAATATCTAAGTTTTAATTAACGAATCAAAACATAATATGTAATTAAAAAATTCAATATTGTAACTAATCCATAATCATAAATCCATAATCATTATCTCAACATGCATTTTCAGAAGGCGAACTTATTACAAGTAAAATTTGCTATATAAAAAAAAATTTAACTAAAAACAAAGTCTACCAACCGAAACACAAAAAAATGTTTATAAAAAATATAAAATAATATCAATGTTTCCTTGAAAATGTCATCATAAAACAAAATATTTATATAGTATTCAACAAGACTACTCAAAGAAACAACTTGAGCACCCCACATTTTGGAGAACATCATTAAGATTTTGATTTTGACTTTTCTTTTTTAGATAAAAAAAAAAAAAGGAAACATGTGTAAGTGAATTAGATCGGTTAACCAGTGGTTTAAGACTTTAAACCATGACCAAACTGAACCACTGTGGTTTTGTTTAAAATAACGCCAAACCAAAACAATAACTACGTCAAACCGACCCAAACCGACCCGAGTCGGTTAGGTTTGGTCGGTTTGATCGATTTTTCGGTTTTTTTGCCCACCCCTATTGAAGAGTGTGAAATTAAGGTATATTGCCATATGATTCCTCCTCTTTTTGAAGGTTATGACCTAGCCGAAGCTTGTAGTAGAGTTATCGATAAAGCATTCAAAATGCCATAAAACTTAGTGCTAACCAAATCACTCTATGTTATAATGTTTTACACAACATTATTGTTCATGTCATCGTCCTAGAAAAGGCCATCTAGATGAATTAATCTTTTTGACCTCTATCTTCTTGACTCATTTATAGTTGGACGTAAAATTGACTTTCCCTTCATTGTCATGCATCACATGACCAATGCTCATTCGGCCACAAGGGTTCTTGCTTTACCTTTTCATGCTTCATACAATGCATTTTCTACATTTTAACGTGTCTTTGAATGGTGAGGTTTCCATTAGCCAACATCGTACCGATTCTATCGATATTAGCACCTTTCAAAGAATGAGAATTATGAAAGAACAAAGACAATCGGACGTATGTTGCAAATATTGATGTTGCTTTAGAGTAGAAAGATACTACAACGTTTTTTAAATGTTGCTAATAACATTTGCAACGTTCATTTATATTGCTAATAACCTTTTTACAACGATTTTTGAATATTGCTAATAACTTTTTTTCAACGTTTTTTGCCTGTTGCCCATACTAATATCCTTATTTTTTTACATTTTTTGACCGTTGTTTTATGTCTCTTTTTTTTGGGTAACAATGTTATCGCATAGGTAAAAAAAAATTCTATTCATACAACAAATTACGAAAATTAATAAAAAAATTGATAATAATTTCATTACGAGTTTTTGAGTCTATACAAAAATGACCTAGAGCATATCCATAAAACAAAATTCAATAATTTCACCAAATAAGTCGATTTTAGTACAAAATTAACTTCAGCGACTTTGTTGTCAACATTCCTACGATAACATCTTCCATCTTCTATCTTACACCCTGATCCTTCACTGAAATTATGAATACCAAGCAGGGGCTAAACTTCCATATGGAAGATGAAAAAAAATTAGACCAAATCACTTCCCATAAAAAAACCGTCATAAAAAGTTTCTAAAAGTAAATAAATGTAGTTAATTGAAATCGAAAAACATGTGATCATCATAAGATTTGCATTCTCAGCTTTCAGGAGGTTAACAGTGTAATATCAATTTTTACAAGTTATGGCCCAAGCTAATGAAAAGGAGACAGAAAATCAATTCTCTAACATTTTTCATTTTGTTTCTTAAAATGCTATCAAAGCTAGTGAATCATCCAGCTGGACCTTGGCTCCTCTCAGTTGTCTAGCACGTGTGAAGCATTAGAGATGTTTTAGTTTGTTATTGTTACTAACTAACTTTCCCTCCTTTTCTAGTATCCCGCCTTTTTCATTTCCGGATTGTATTTATATGTTTGAACTCCTTCTACATTAATTAATTGGATTGAATAAAGATTCCTTCAATATGCATATTCTCTGTAATATGGTATCAGAGATTATCTGCTTCGAGCTTTGCAATTGCTCTTCAATTGATTTCTTTTCAACTGGTTACTCATGGCCAACGCTCATATTCAAATTTCTACTTCTTGTTACTCGTTAAGGCGTCAACAAGAAGGATCCAATCCCTACTTCCTCCACCATTCTGATAATCCTGGTCTCGTGGTTTCACAGCACTGGTGAAAACCATACATCTTGGGCTCGTGCTATGTTTATAGCCTTATCAATGAAGAATAAGGTAGGGTTCATAGATAGATCCATTACCAGACCTGAAGGTAGTATCGAACTTCTCAATTCATGGATCCGAAATAACAATATGGTTATTTCATGGATTCTTAATTCCGTGTCAAAGGAAATTTCAGCTAGTATAATCTACTCTGAATCAACTTTTGAAATTTGGACTGATCTTAAAGAACGAGAACGATTTCAGCAGAAAAATGGCCCTCGGATCTTTCAACTGAGGCGTGAGTTACCGCAGTTGAAGACGGATCCAATCCCTACTTCCTCCACCATTCTGATAATCCTGGTCTCGTGGTTTCACAGCACTGGTGAAAACTATACATCTTGGGCTCGTGCTATGTTTATAGCCTTATCAATGAAGAATAAGGTAGGGTTCATAGATGGATCCATTACCAGACCTGAAGGTAGTATCGAACTTCTCAATTCATGGATCCGAAATAACAATATGGTTATTTCATGGATTCTTAATTCCGTGTCAAAGGAAATTTCAGCTAGTATAATCTACTCTGAATCAGCTTTTGAAATTTGGACTGATCTTAAAGAACGAGAACGATTTCAGCAGAAAAATGGCCCTGGATCTTTCAACTGAGGCGTGAGTTAATGAATCATATGCAGGGGCAAATGTCAGTTAGTGTCTACTTCACTAAACTGAAAACGGTTTGGGAAGAACTAAGGGGTCATTTTCTTCGTGTTTCAATTTTGTGTTTTTAGTTTTGAATTCGTTTTGTGTTTTGAGTGTCTATTTTGATATTTCTAAAAATGTGTTCTTTTTATCATTCTGAAAAACTGTTTTTGAAAACAGAAAACGTGAAAATGCTTTTACTTCAAAATTTTGAATTTTTTTTTTAATAATAATTTTTCTTTCTTTTCTTCTTTCTCAACTCTGCAGTCTCTATTTTAAAGTCAATATTTTCATGCCAAAAAAAATGTATTGAAGGTTGAACATTAGTGTTCCACTGAATTGGAGATTGGAAAGGCATAAAAATATTTTCAATTGATTCATTTGGTTTAACGGCAACTGCATTATTCAGGTGTTCACAAAGTTCTTTGCATCAGGTTCATCATGAGAACTCAAATGATAATGCTAATCCTCAGCAAGAATTTAATCCAATAATTGTTTCAAATACACATTTCAATTATAAGAACTCCTTTATATACATGTAGTCTGAAAGATGCAAACTTTCTGTGCGAAAAATAGAGGTGTCAATCTCAACTTTACATGTGCTTACAACTGTTGTGGGTTTTCATTTTTTTTTTACAGCCACACGATACGAAAATGGAACCACCTCACAGAATCATAAAAGATCTCAAAGATTACTGCACATAATCAGAATGCCACTTGTCTGAAATACCACCACCCCCAATAAGTGAGGAAGAGAAGTTGAGGCAATAAAGTTACAGTACATTAGCTGCATTAAGAGGCAGAGTCTTAATTAATACATCAATGTGCACTATTCTCTTTTGAGAAGTTACCATAAATTCATTTGCTCATTTTTCAAGTACAGAACCAACCAAAGCTCCAAAATATTGCTAAATTAAGCAAATCTATAGGATAATATGAATGACAAAGTGTTAAGCATAACATTCACGCACATGTGAAGGGAATGTAACCATGCAGCAGATTGGTTTGCCAACAATGGTCTCCAAGAAAGAATCAAAAAATAGTTCAAGCAAGGGGAATTAACTGGGCATATCACTAGAATTCTAAAGCTGGGGAGAGGTGGACTGCCAAATGTCAGAATAAAGAGATTAGAATAGTAGGCTAATTGTACAATTTTAGATAACTTTTTCATTATTTATATTCTTTTCAATTGAAATTCCTGAATAGAAAGCAACAATCACCACCCCGAAAGGCATTGCGAGCTTTAAGAGGATTATTGAAAATACAAGCTCTAGTAAGGGGTCACTTGGTAAGAAAACAAATGGCTGCCGTGTTAAGGTCCCTTGGTACTGTAATGGCAATTCAAATTAGAGCTCGGGTTCAGCGACTCCAAATGGCAGATGAAACAAGAAAAACTTCCAAGGACTTAGCTTTGGACAACCAGTGCAGGAATGGATTCCGGGTCAGTTTCCCCTATTTATTCACATAAAATTATGATGCATACAAGATTTACAAAAATTTCAGCACATACTGATGTCTAAATGGCTCAATAAAATTTAACAATGACTAAAATGCATTGGACAACAAAAGTAAGAATGTTAAGAAATTTAATATTATTCTTGGGAAAACAACACCTATGGTCCTCATTTTATACTTAAACGAGCAATTATGTCCCCTGTGAATTCCTCCCAAATACATGCCTTAGGCAAGTTCAGCAATAAATAAGCAACAAGGTTGATTTCTATAAATGTAGAAAGACACGAGTGAGAATATACACGATAGAAGGGGAGCTTTGATGAGCAAAAGTACACACATAAATCATACTCTTGCTGGAAGAGTGGAACGTGGATTTGGTACATGTATTTCTGGTCGATCTTCGTGCTCAAAAAGGGAACATCAACTTAAGACATGTCCCAGTCCATCAACAATGTCACTTACAGATGAGAGTTCAATGACCTATGATGGGCAGTTAAAGGAGTTTTCTTTGGATATGGCGCGTGTCACGACCCATCCCAAGTCACCCTAATAGACCGACACGTGTCGTGCGCCGATGATAGATACCAACTAAGTGCCGGACCTACCACCAAGGCGACTATGACTTGTTCTAACTGTGACACACTTTTATAAAAATTTTGACAGAATTTCCCCTGTAATATGGACCAAAACCACCTGAACAATAATCAACCTCCTCCAACCAAAACATATATTTTAAAACAGGGTACATCAGCCCCTCAAAAATCAAACTATTCAAAAACAACACAAGAAAGTCTACAATTACGAACATTTTACATAAAAAATCTCAAAATACTCAATATGCAATGAGCCCATAACATGGATACATGAAATACAACTTTAACTTTCTGACAACAAAACCATGTACCCCAAAAGAAATACGTTCAATGCAAATTGACAAAA